TTCCTTCCTTCCTTCCTTCCTTCCTTCCTTCCTTCCTTCCTTCCTTCCTTCCTTCCTTCCTTCCTTCCTTCCTTGGCACTAGAAAGGAAATTTAAAAGGGGCAGTAGTTTAAAATATGCCGGAAACAGGAAAGTGACTATCATGGAGGCTGACTGTGAAATCACGTAAGGCAGATAAGAAGACAGTGTGGCCGCTATACTTGCTAGATAATGTAGAAAGCAAGACTTCTGTTTTAGAAGTAATGAAATTGTGGAACAGTTTTCCCTAGACTGGTACCCAACAGATGTATGGGACGGGGATTCCCAGGAAGGGTCATCTTAGCCAGCAATTTTTGGAGTTGGAGCCCCAAGTCTTTTGAGGGTGCAAAACTGAAGATGGATGCTGTAGAAGAATATAACTTAACGGTGTGTGAAAAGGTTGTGTTTTTATTCATTAATTGGGAAGATCGACAAAATCATCAGATATATTGATTTTCTCAACAGCGGGATTTTTAGTTAGGCACAAGGGAAGAAAAGTATGCCAGTATTGTTAAAGGAGTAGAAAAACTACACTAAGACTTGTATTCAGAAATAATGCTCATTAAGTTCAGTCTGTATAGAACCTCTAAACAGCATAAGACTGACACCTAAGGTTAATTTTAAAAATGGCATGAATTCAGACAAGCTTCTTTGTCTTTTTTTTGCCTGTTCAACGCTTTCTCCACTTTTGCATATGCATTAAGCTAGTTTAAGGACAGAATATAAGAAAATAAAATAACTGCTGTGAGACATTAAAACTTTATCAAGACTAGTAACATTTTCCAATAGTAAATAGATAGAAGACACTAGCTGGGATCACATAGCCTGCTAAGCCTTAATGTGGGTTCTTTGTTTTCTGACTTTATACAGTCTGTGGTTCCTTATCACTATATGTTTGAACCAAGTGATTATGGTTAAATCAGCAAGCCAATTTAAAAAATTGGCATTATGTATGAATGTTGTCAATGGCCCTTCCTACCTCCAACCTCCCTTTTAGCTATACTTTCAATTCATAGCCATAGCCAAAGCCTTCATCCACTGTACTAGCCTCCTGTGGCCCACATACTCTAAAGACATTGGATCTATAAGTCCTATATGGTGAGCAATTATGGGAGTTAAAAGTCCAACACATCTAGAAGGAACCAAATCAAGGAAGGATGCTCCATACACATCTGGGAACATGTTTCATTTAAATCCCTGGGCTTATTGATTTGTTCTGTAAGAGACCATCAACAAATATAACTCTCAAATTATATTTATTTTATATTGTCATTCTATCTATCTATCTATCTATCTATCTATCTATCTATCTATCTATCTATCAAATTTGTACT